GTACATCCTTGGCCGAGTGACGACTCGGGAGGGAAACCTTTTCAGGAAAGCTGAAGGTACATCCTTGGCTAAGTGATGACTTGGGAGGGAAGGAAAGCCGAATGTACATCCTTGGCCGAGTGACAACTCGAGAGGGAAATCTTTTCAAGAAAGCCGAAGGTACATCCTTGGTCGAGTGATGACTCAGGAGGGAAACCTATTTAGGAAAATCGAAGGTACATCCTTGACCGAGTGAAGACTCGGGAGGGAAACTTTCTCACGAAAATCGAAGGAAGATCCTTGGCCGAGTGACGACTTAGGAATGAAACCTTTTAAGGAAAACTAAAGGTACATCCTTGGCCGAGTGACAACTCGGGAGGGAAACCTTTTCAGGAAAACCAAAGGTACATCCTTGGCCGAGTGACAACTCAGGAGAAAAACCTTTTCAAGAAAGCTGAAGGTACATTTTTGGCCGAGTGACGACTCGGAAGGGAAACCTTATCAAGAAAATCGAAGGTACATCCTTGGCCGAGTGACGACTCGGGAGGGAAACCTTTTCAGGAAAACCAAAGGTACATCCTTGGCCGAGTGACCACTTGAGAGGGAAACCTTTTTTGGAAAACCCAAGGTACATCCTTGGTCGAGTGACGACTCCGGAGGGAAACCTTTTCAGGAAAGCTGAAGGTACATCCTTGGCTGAGTGACGACTCGAGAGGGAAACCTTTTCAAGAAAGCCGAAGGTACTTCCTTGTCCGAGTGACGACTCGGGAGGGAAACTTTATCAGGAAAATCGAAGGTACATCCTTGGCCAAGTGACGAATCAGGAGGGAAACCTTTTCAGGAAAACCAAAGGTACATCGTTGGCCGAGTGACGACTCAAGAGGGAAACCTTTTCAGGAAAGTCGAAGGTACATCCTTAGCCGAGTGACGACTCGAAAGGGAAACCTTATCAGGAAAACCGAAGGTACATCCTTGGTCGAGTGACGACTCGGGAGGGAAACCTTTTCAGGAAAGGCGAAGGTACATCCTTGGCCGAGTGATGACTCGGGAGGGAAACGTTTTCAAGAAAGCCAAAGGTACATCCTTGGCACATCCTTGGATGAGTGGGTTAGTCGGTCGGGAAGCCTTTTGAGAATAATCCGAAGGCACATCCTTGGCCGAGTGAGTACTCAGGAGGGAAGCCTTTTGAGAGAAATCTGAAGGCACGTCCTTGGCCGAGTGAGTACTCGGGAGGGAAGCCTTGTGAGAGAAATTTGGAGGCACGTCCTTGGCCGAGTGGGTCACTCAGGAGGGAAGCCTTATGAGAGAAATTCGAAGGCACGTCCTTGGCCGAGTGACGACTCAAGATGGAAGCCTTTTGAGTTAATATCTGAGCAAACAATAAAAAAGAAAATGCTGAATGAGAGTGAATTGTACTTCATTGATTGGCGCCTCGTTAAAAACCTTGTCAGCCAAAACCCTTTTTCACATGTTTATAAGGGGAGAAAAAACCGATCAAGGAAAAGAGTGCACCTTTGTGTATACATCATTTCAAACATACACCAGCTTCTCTGTCTTTCCCATAGTTTCAGCTCGAGCTTGGTTGCGAAAATCAGCTAACTCTTCCATTTGCATATACTTATCAGCCCGCCTACGTAGATCATCCATGTCTATAGGTCGCAAGATCGGAAATTTTCGGGTTGCGACAATCATGACCAGGACTATGGGTTGAGGTAGAAGAAGGAGGTGCTACACTATTGTCATTGCTTATAGCATTCTCCATTATATTATCCAAAGCTTGGTCATTCAATCTTGGACACCAACTAGTAACTATTGCATAACTTTAGCTTTAGATCTCCAAATAGCATGAGGTTAATTTTTTTAGAAAGCTAAGACACTAGGCTTTTCATAATTAAAATTTTAGAATTTTATAGTTTGACATGCAGCACCGATTTTTATTTAAAAACAAGTAAATCCTTGCTGTAACAGAGTACACATCCTCTGTTAGACACCAAAGAGTAACTGCTGCATAACTTGAGCTCTAGGTCTGCAAAAAACATGGGGTTAATAATTTTGTTAGAAACCTAAGACACTAAACTTTCCATAATTAAAATTTTAGAATTTTAAATTTTGACATGCAGTACCATATTTTATTTTAAAACTAGTCAATTCTTGTTGTAATAGTTTACACATCCTCTCTAAGACACCAAATAGTAAATACTGCATAACTTGATCTTTAGATCTCTAAATAGCATGGGGTTAATTTTGTTAGAAAGCTAAGACAATAAGCTTTTCATAATTATAATTTTATAATTTTATAATTTGATGCAGTAGCCGTTTTTATTTTAAAATAGGTCAATCCTTGCTGTAACAGAGTACACATCCTCTCTTAGACACCAAACAATAATTACTGCATAACTTGAGCTCTAGATATCCAAATAGTATAGGGTTAATTTTGTTAGAAAGCTAAGAAACTAAGATTTTCATAATTAAAAATTGAGAATTTTATAGTTTGACATGCAGTACCAATTTTTATTTTAAAACAAGTCAATCCTTGCTATAACAGAATACACATCTTCTCTTAGACACCAAAGAGTAACTACTTCATAACTTGAGCTCTAGGTCTCCAAATAGCATGGGGTTAATTTTGTTAGAAATCTAAGACACTAAGATTTTCATGATTATAATTTTAGAATTTTATATTTTGGCATGCAGTACCAGTTTTTGTTTTAAAACAGTTTAGTCCTTGTTGTAACAGATTTCACATTCAACCTTAGACACCAACTAGTAACTATTGCATAACTTGACCTTTAGATCTCCAAATAGCATGGGGTTAATTTTGTTAGAAAGCTAAGACACTAAGCTTTTCATAATTAAGATTTTAGAATTTTATAGTTTGGCATGTTGTACCATTGTTCTGATAAAAAAATTTTCTTTCTTGTTTTCCTATTCACTTTTAAGTTGATAATAAGGATAAAAGGATTCAAATTCTATTTCAGTCTAATGTTTTATTATTTATATTTAAATTAAAAGGAAGTATATAAATGAAAAATGTGAAATATGGCAACAAAACACAACCTCAAACAAGAAAGCACCAACTTAGGGTGGTTAGTAAGAAAGTTTGATCCATCTATAAAGTAAAACCACAAATTAAACATATTTAGCAGATGAAGGAATAAAATCTTGATTTGATGACTTATTTAATATTTAAGTCTAAGTTATTCATAGCCTAATTTGAGTTAGGCTAACTTGGAGACAAGACAATTATAGAAACACACATATATAAAAGCTCAACATAGGCTCAATTACAAAACATAAAATTTGTCTAGGTATCAATCCATTTGCATATATAAAACAGCCTAATAATTATTCTACTACCATTTGTCTGTCCAATAAAATAAAAGAACCTTATAAATCTCTAATCTATCTATAAAATATGTTAAAACAGTATATTCCTAAAATTTCTTTAAAGACTATGTTAGTTGTAAAGGTTTCTTATGGTTCCACCTTAGCCACCACCATAGTACGTGTATATCTTTTAAGAAAAAAACTTATGTTTAATCCAGATTTTTGGTTTTAAGAACATCATACAAGTAGCATAGAAAAAAGACAAGAAAAAAAAATGATTACTAATTTTGTTAAAATCATAAAAGAAAATGCTCTTAATCATGGTTAGAAATATGATGCATGGAAGTTTATGTGATACAATCATGGAGTTGAATATTCAAGAACAAAACTCAAATTCACGTCACCTTTACTCAGCTTATCAATTTCTATCAATTTGTCTTTCTCACTTAAATGCCATCACTAAAGAATTAATGTTATATTAGAAATTCAAAAAAAAGTTTAACCACCAAACCTGTAACATATTAAAGTAAATCACCACATTGTCTGCACCATTCTAGTGTTAGAAATAGTCCCTAGGCCTAGTTTGATTGAGCATTCAATTCTGTCTTGGTACCTTTTGACACAATAAGATATAAACTTGATCATTGTACCTTCTTCATTCATTCATATATGTGCCAAATTGTTACATTCCTAACATAATTAATTTAAATGAAGACAATTTTTTTCTTTCATTTTACGAGCTACATCAAACAATCGAAGTATTAAAGTATTGGAAGATGGATTGTGTTTCTAAAATGATGAGAAGTGAATTGCAGGAAAATGTTGGGTTTGGAATTTAGTACTGGAAGTTCCATGGCATTGAATAAGTATCCTCTTGTGTTTGGTTTCTAATGTATAATAAGGAAGTGCAGGTGTCTCATATTTGATAGATTAAGTATAAAGCAAAATCCAAATCAAACTTCCATTTGTCACAATATTAGTTCTCTCCACATCCACGTGGGCTCACGCCTCTTTCTCTATGTGAATAATGAACATACGCTATTTTCCTCATGAAAACTAACACAGTAATAAATGGGGAATTTGAATTGTACAAGAAAAGGTTTGAATTGATGTGAAATCTAGAAAGGGAAGGTGTAATTGTGAGGTAGTATTCATATATTCTAAGCATGGTAATTAGTAAAAGTATAATGACACATAAACAATTCACCTCTTCTGTGCTACTCAGAAGGAAAGGCCTCTCACACCATAATACAAGATGTTGAATTTATTGTGATGTACATAAACGGTCGGAAATAAATAGTGATGCATGAATTGCAAAAATGCTTGAAATTTGTGAAAATAGTTTTGAGGTCCCGGTTCGAATTTTTTCTTGACACACCTACTCTAAACCCTCTTACATACCCAAACGGAACCCATAACTCATAATCGCAATGAACCCATAACCCATAATCGCAATGAACCCATAACCCATATAACCCATATAGCCATAGACCTATAATCGTACACACACACACACGTACACTTGTGAACCCCATAACCCACACACTCAACGCACAACATCACATAATCTACAGCCTCATTGAATGAGAGAGATAAAAATAACAGCAATCACACATAAAGAGAAACAGATAAAAGGTTAGAATCATACCTGAGAGCACAAACAAAGAGAAATAGATAAAAGGTGAGAATCATACCTGAGAGGCGCCTAGTAATAACAAGCGTAGAACAGCTAGCTCAACGTGATGAGAAAGATGACACAGAGAAGCAAGCATACGTATTGGGAAAATTTTAGGGATTCTATTTTTGGTTTTTAGGAGACGAGAAGTCTTTCTGTTTCCCGCGAATTAATATTTTCGGAATTAAAGATAGGGAGAAGTTTAATTTTTTTTAATTAATATTTCCCAGGAATACAAAAGGGCCAGTATAATCATTAAGCAACGTTTATAAGTGTTGCCTATTAACTTTAAAGAAATAAACTTTCCATTTTAATAATAAACATGGTTAATAATATATTTTAGAAACATTTTTTATTGTGTTGCATGATATAAAATAAGCAATAATTTATAAATTGTTGCCTAATATCAATTTTAAGAACGATTTTTAAACTGTTGGGCAGAGAAGTGGCCACGATTAGAAATTTGTTGCTTGTTTCATATTTTAGGAACAGTTTTGTAAATATTGAAAAGAGAATAGTGCACGCTTTGATCAAGTGTTGCCTATATGTACTTTTGGGAACGGTTTTATGATTGTTGTTAAACAAAGTGCCAACAGTTTACAAAATTGTTGCCTATTTCATATTTCGAGAACATTTTTTAGGCGTTGCCTAAAAAATCGTTGCCTAATATAAAAAATGTTGTAGTTAGTAACAAATCCTTTATCTTACATTTAATAAAATGTTGCAAAAAATATATTAACAATATCTACTCATGATAATACATATTCAAATGCTAGTCTTATCTTTCTTGTTCCTCATATATTTAAAAGTATATAATGTTACAAAACATATTAACAACATTTATCTTACATTTCTAATATTTCTAAAAACACATAACTCTTATATTTATATATATATATATATATAATATAAGGAGAGATTCATTTACTTTAGGAGTAAATCTACCTAGATTTACTCCGTTCAATAACTCATGTTGTTCATCAAATTTTAATGATTCAACCATTGAATTTAAAATTTTTAATACATAAATCAAATCTATAAATTTTTAAAATTTTGAAAATAATTTGATATTTCATTGTATTAATTCAAATTGATGAATAATCACAAAATCATTTTATACGTTGATTTGAATTAATGAAATAAAGTATCAAATAATTTTCAAATTTTTAAATTTTTTTTAGACTTGATCTATGCATTAAGAACTTTAAATTCAACGATTTGATCGTTGAAATTTGATATAAAATATGAGTTATTAAACGGAGTAAGTCTAGGTAGATTTATTCTTAGGGGTGTTTGGTATGTATAATATTTTTACATTCTTGAAAATCTTAAAATGAGAATTTTAGTTTCCTATGTTTGGTAGTTATTTGAAGAAAAAAAAGAGATTCCTAGGAATGTGATTTTTCGGGAACCATTTTTATCCCACTTTTTCACAAAAATATTCCCATGACGGGGTGGGAATCCAACTTTCTCGAGTTAGGGAAAAAATTTAATATATATAAAATGATTATAGATATAGTATCATTTTCTAAAATAGAAAATCTCTCTCTTTCTCTCTCCCCTTCTATTTTTTTTCTCTTTCTCTCTAACTCTCACTCCCCCTTTCTTCCTCAGTCTCTCTCAGTCTCTCTCTATATCTCTCTCTTTCTCCTCTTCTATTTCTCTTTCTCACTCTTTCACTCTCACTCCCCTTCTCTTCCTCTCTCCCTCTCCATCTCTGTCTCCCTCTTCCTCCCTCTCTCTCCATCTCTGTCTCCCTCTTCCTCCCTCTCTCCCTCTCATATATTTATTTCTCTCTCTTTCATGTATTTCATTATTTCTTGACATTGTCAATTTTAATAATATTATTAAAGTTTATTTTGTTTCTATAATTTAATGCTATTGGTTCAATTTTTTTTAATTTATTTATCTGAATGAAATAAAATATATATTTTTTTATTCTTCTTAATTATTATGTAGCATTTTTCTTTCTTTATTTATTTTTGTTAAATTCTGTATTTAAATAATTTTAACTATAAATTTTTGAATTTTAAAAATATTTTAATGTTATATTTGTAATCAAATTTGAGTAAATAAATATATCTAATAAGTTATTTTGATAAAGGATATTTTTGTAAGACATATTTATATTCCCAAGAATATAGTAGTATAACCAAATATGAAAATCTTTAATTCCCAGAAATCCTATATGAATATTCTCAGGAATTTTTATGAATAACAAAACATATTTTAGTTATTCCTAGGAATCATATTCTCTGGATTTGTAATTCCCATAAATAATGATTACTGAATATGAAAAACTTCTTCCTTACCAAACGTCTCCCGGAGTAAACGGATCCTTGAGAAAGAGAGGAAATATCCGTTTACTCTAGGAGTAAGTCTACATAGATTTATTCTTTTCAATAACTTATGTTCTACATAAAAATTTTAACAATTCAATCGTTGAATTTAAAGTTCTTCATGCATATATTAAATTTACAAATGTTTAAAAAAATTGAAAACTATTTGATACTTCGTTTCATTAATTAATTCAAATCAACATATAAAATATTTTTATAATTATCCATTAATTTAAATTAATAAAACAAAATATCAAATGGTTTCAAAATTTTTTAAAATTTGCAGACTTGATCTATGCATTAAAAACTTTAAATTTAACGATTGAATCGTTGAAATTTGATGTAGAACATGATTTATTGAAAAAAGTAAATTTTGGTTAATTTACTCTTAGAGTCCTCCTCCTCCTCTCTCTCTCTCTCTCTCTCTCTCTCTCTCTTCCCATCTAGAATGGAATATATATATATATATGGAGCATATCAAGTGAGAGAGAATTTATTATGAGAGATGAGAGGGTTAAAATATAACCCTTAGATTAATAACTCCAGGACTAAGTCTTCTTAGACTTACTTCGTTCAATAACTCATGTTCTACATCAAATTTCAACGATCCAACCGTTCAATCTCAAGTTCTTAATGCATAGATCAAATCTGCAAATTTTTAGAAAAATTAAAAATCATTTGATACTTCATTTCATTAATTCAAATCAATGCATAATCATATAGAGGAGGGATTCGTTTACTCTTGTGTACCTAGATTTATTCTGTTTAATAATTCATGTTCTACATCAAATTTCAATGATCTAACCGTTGAATTTAAAGTTCTTAATGCATAAATCAAGTATGTAAATTTTTAGAAAATTTGAAAATCATTTGATACTTCATTTTATTAATTTAAATCAATGCATAATCATATAAAGGATGGATCTGTTTACTCTAGGAGTAATTAGACTTACTCCGTTCAATAACCCATGTTCTATATCAAATTTCAATAATCCAACTGTTGAATTTAAAGTTCTTAATATATAGATCAAGTTAACAAATTTTTAAAAAATTTGAAAATCATTTGATACTTCATTTCATTAATTCAACGGCTGGATAGTTAAATTTGATGTAAAATATGAGTTATTGAATGAAGTAAGTATATATAGACTTACTCTTGAAATAAATGGATCCCTCCTTATATATATATATACTAGTCTTATCTTTCTCGTTTCGCATCACCATAATTGTTCAAAATTTTAATATATATGCATGCATAAGACGACTTACAAGGTCTTTTTTCCATTAATATACTTCAAATTCTGCTCGGAGTTTCTCTCGAGATAGTTGATACTATAATAACACAAAGCAACAAATGAATTTTATTTAAGATGTATTCATCTTTCAAACTTCTTTTAAGTAAGGTTTTAAAAAATGTCTGCAACTACAAATTGTAATGCAATGTCAAAACCTTTAAAATCTCGATAATTGCTTCACAATCGCAATTATGGTTTTATTAGTTGCATTTGCCCATAATATTTTACTATATACTAATGATCACAAAAACCACAACTGTGACTACAATTAAAATTTAAACCTTCCTTTTCAAGTGTGGCCACAAGTCGTGACCATTGAGCAATCTCTGATGGTTAATTAATTTGGTGCTGATGTTGAAATACTGTCGAAGAAAATATACTAATTGGCGTAGAAAGAGGTATAGATGGTTGCGTTTGGAGGGTAAACTTTACTTACACGCTTGGGAAGCAAACCCTAGGTCAAGGAAAGGCAAAGGTGGGCTAAATTTTTGGGAGCGTCATTGAATTTGGAGTCCCAAGTTTGTCATTAACTCAATGATCTTCACATTAATTAATTAGTGGTACGACACTTGACATATCCAACCCGTAGACACAATTTTTTGCAATATTAGTAACCAAAAATTTGAGAAAATCTATATATGTGCTATATGCTACAGAAAGTGGGGGACATTGAAGAAAAATTAATAAACTTTTAAGTTCCATTGTTGAAACCTATTTGATTATACTATGTTGATTTTGAAACAAGAAAAAAAAACCTTGTGTAATAACAAATAAAAAAATTCAGAAAATGATAATGTCTAACAAGAGAACAAAATAAGTTTGCATGGTTTAGCCAAATTAGTCGATACCAAATTTCACCATCTAAAAACAAAATCAAGTCTTTACAATATAATAACCTCTTGCTCTTCTTTGAAACCCCTTGATCTCTTTAACTAGTTCTCCTTTCCCGTCTACGTATCTTCTTGACAACTCTTGTATGTATGTTCTCTCATTCCTCTTTTCTTACACTTAGCATTTCACTCCCACACTCTTACTCTCTCTTAGAA